AGGTGGAGGATCCCACGGCGGTGTTCTGTGGGAAGGAGCTGAGGATGGGGCCGGGCAGGGTCACCACCACGGGTGAGGGTTCGATGACGACATGGGAGCTCTGGCACTGCCTGACACAGCACTCATTGCAGCTGCTGCCCAGCGGGGTGGGGCCACAGGGCTGGCAGCAAGGGTCACAGGGCCGGTAGCAGGGGGTGCAGGGCTGATAGCAGGGGGTGCAGGGCTGGCAGCTGGACATGGCTCTGGCTCACAGGTGCACCTGGGAGAGAAGAAAGAGACACGATGGGGATGGTGGAGGAGCCACCTCTCCACCCACCACAAGGGAGCCAAGACACAGGCTGGCCTGGGAGATGCAGCCAGTACAGAGAGGACCACACGACCCTTTGCCTGATCCCCACCACTGGGCAAGGACAGATAGACCCACAAAAGAACTTTCTTAGTCAAGAGAACAAGAGTTCCCCCAGCCCAGACCCAGCCCTCTCCACACCAAACCTTCTCTCCACCTCCCCTCCCCAAACAGGCAGCCTCAAGCCCAGTATAGGACACAGCTTCCAACTCACTTGCTTCCAAAGGAGAAGAAGAACAGGGGAGTGGATGAGAGAGTGAAAAGCTGGGATGCCTTTTATACCTGTCCTGCACTGCCCCAGGTCCAGAGGAAGTCTCTCTGGAAACAATAATTTTCTGAGAAGCTCATTTCAAGTGCAAAACACTCCAATTAATGATATGGGCTTGTTTTGTTTTCCTGTATGGCTGCATTTCCATTGCCTTCTTTGGCCACACACGTTTCTCCCTGAAGGCTCCTTTTTAGAGACGGGCAGGGACATCCATGGACTTCTGGGACAGAAGCTCATTGGTGCCAGCAGAAGATGAGTCTTGAGTGCCACAGGCATTGCCTGCAGTCTGCGGACATTGGCTTGGGGCACTCCCGTGGGCTTGTTTGCAGCCCCATGGGCAGGAAGGGCCCTGCTGCTCCAAGCCCTGGAATGCTTGCTCAGGTGCCAAAGGATTACCAAATGTGTTGATGTGCCACATCCTCTTCCTCCCCCCTTCCAAAAATCTGTGACTGACACTGGCCATTGCTTTTGCAGGTTGCTCATCAGCGCTGCTGCTCTTGTCCATCTTCCTCTTGATGCTGCTCTTAGGAGTCCTTGGTGCATTCGTTGGGCCTCCTCCACTCCATGGACTCTCTCTGATAGTCCCCTACCAACACAAACAACCTCAGCATGTCCTCTCCCAGGATGCTCCAGCCTTGCCCTCCCAAGAGGTTTCTCTGAGACTCCTTTGCCACAGGCTCAGGGGGAGGCAGTGATGATCCTCCAGAATCTCAGAATAGAAAAGTGAAAAAGTGAAAGGTGCCACTGGAGATGGTCAGGTTTAACCCTCCAGCTCCGACACAACAAAAGTATATTGATCAGGATATTGTCCTATGTCGTTTTCAATGTCCTTAATGGCATTCACCCCACCTCCACAAGCTGCTTGGGCAACTCTCCCAGGCTTGGGCCCATTCTCACAGGAGTTTTTCTTCATGTCTCTTCAGAATTTCCTTTCACATTGCCCCAGTATCTAAACAAGGGCAGGCAAACAGCCCTGCCTCCCCCTGAGCCCTGTGGGCTCATGTGGCAAAGGAGTCTCAGAGAAACCTCTTGGGAGGGCAAGGCTGGAGCATCCTGGGAGAGGACATGCTGAGGTTGTTTGTGTTGGTAGGGGACTATCAGAGAGAGTCCATGGAGTGGAGGAGGCCCAACGAATGCACCAAGGACTCCTAAGAGCAGCATCAAGAGGAAGATGGACAAGAGCAGCAGCGCTGATGAGCAACCTGCAAAAGCAATGGCCAGTGTCAGTCACAGATTTTTGGAAGGGGGGAGGAAGAGGATGTGGCACATCAACACATTTGGTAATCCTTTGGCACCTGAGCAAGCATTCCAGGGCTTGGAGCAGCAGGGCCCTTCCTGCCCATGGGGCTGCAAACAAGCCCACGGGAGTGCCCCAAGCCAATGTCCGCAGACTGCAGGCAATGCCTGTGGCACTCAAGACTCATCTTCTGCTGGCACCAATGAGCTTCTGTCCCAGAAGTCCATGGATGTCCCTGCCCGTCTCTAAAAAGGAGCCTTCAGGGAGAAACGTGTGTGGCCAAAGAAGGCAATGGAAATGCAGCCATACAGGAAAACAAAACAAGCCCATATCATTAATTGGAGTGTTTTGCACTTGAAATGAGCTTCTCAGAAAATTATTGTTTCCAGAGAGACTTCCTCTGGACCTGGGGCAGTGCAGGACAGGTATAAAAGGCATCCCAGCTTTTCACTCTCTCATCCACTCCCCTGTTCTTCTTCTCCTTTGGAAGCAAGTGAGTTGGAAGCTGTGTCCTATACTGGGCTTGAGGCTGCCTGTTTGGGGAGGGGAGGTGGAGAGAAGGTTTGGTGTGGAGAGGGCTGGGTCTGGGCTGGGGGAACTCTTGTTCTCTTGACTAAGAAAGTTCTTTTGTGGGTCTATCTGTCCTTGCCCAGTGGTGGGGATCAGGCAAAGGGTCGTGTGGTCCTCTCTGTACTGGCTGCATCTCCCAGGCCAGCCTGTGTCTTGGCTCCCTTGTGGTGGGTGGAGAGGTGGCTCCTCCACCATCCCCATCGTGTCTCTTTCTTCTCTCCCAGGTGCACCTGTGAGCCAGAGCCATGTCCAGCTGCCAGCCCTGCACCCCCTGCTATCAGCCCTGCACCCCCTGCTACCGGCCCTGTGACCCTTGCTGCCAGCCCTGTGGCCCCACCCCGCTGGGCAGCAGCTGCAATGAGTGCTGTGTCAGGCAGTGCCAGAGCTCCCATGTCGTCATCGAACCCTCACCCGTGGTGGTGACCCTGCCCGGCCCCATCCTCAGCTCCTTCCCACAGAACACCGCCGTGGGATCCTCCACCTCAGCTGCTGTTGGCAGCATCCTCAGCTCTCAGGGAGTGCCCATCAGCTCCGGGGGCTTTGACCTCTCGTGCATCACCAACCGCCACTGCAACAGGATCTGCTAAAGCTGCTGGTGACAGCCCCACAGCAGGACCCCCTGGAACCCAGAAGATGGAAATGGACTGAGCATGGTCATTTAGAGGCACTGAGTATCCATGGCATTTGGGAAGAGCTGTGCCTGGGCTCTCTTTAGACCATGGTCCTTGTCTAACTTGTCTGTTTCCCTCCTGTTCTTTCTTGTCTTTGCCTTCATGTCCTCCCCTGGGCTGTGATCACTGCTGAGTCCCATCCAAGGTGTGAACTGCACCCTGGCCAAGGGACAGAGTCTCCTACATCCCCCTGGTGCTCCCTGTTCTATGGTGCCGACTCAGAGGACCTTCTTTCCTTCTTCCAACTCATTAAAGTTTTGCTGCATCCCAGCCTGTGCCTCTGTGTGGTCCCTCTCTCTCCCCACGCTGTCCCCAGCTGCCAGACAGAAAGGTGTTGCTCTGTGAGGATGTGGCAGGCACAGATCAGAGCCCTGGGTCTTCCTGGAGTGATGGAAAGGTGACAATGTGGCAGGATGCTCTGCCCTGTAATGTGGTCAAGCAACTTGAAGAATGCCCTATTTGCCAAGCTAGCAGTAGTGGACTGAGGTGGGGGGGCTGTATCTGGCTCACCAAACCCAAATCAACATCCTTACATTGCTGCAACCACGGATAGATGACTCCAATCACTCCATACTATACAAGTTCTGTACAATTTTATACAATAGGTTCTTCCAATATTTTCCTACTTGGATGTGTATATGAACTTTCCTGCCTTGGAGTGGAAATGTCCCTTCAAGAATGCTCCTTTATGTCAAGTAAAAGAGACCTGCCCATGAGCATTGGTATGATGAGTTGCATCACTATCTATTTTAATATTTGTTTATTTTTGCTAGCTTTAATATAAGTGCTTAAATATAATTGCTTTGATATAGTACATTATCTTATCATATTCTATACAGTACTAATATTTTTAGGTTTTATATTGTGTAGTAAGTAATTCTGGTTAAGATATTTTGTCTAATAATTTTTCACAATAATTCATTTAACATATATATATATATATATATATATGTGTGTGTGTGTGTAACAAAATTTTTCCATAATTAATCCTGTGGGACAAAGTTACTTAAACCATTGACAGACTAGGCCTGAGATTGGATGCAGCCTAACCCAGACTCCTCTCTGAGGAGGAATTTAGAAAGCCAAATGTCCTCTCTGCACCTCTCAACTCAACACGATTTCTCTAATATACTCTTGACTCGATCTTCTCGAGTGTGGCCCGGCTAGCTCAGTGATGAGGTTTCTCTTCACTCGAGTTTCGAGCCAGCATATGTTTGTGGGGTTCACTGATTTTCTTCAAGAATCCAAGTCTATAGAGCGAGTAAAGAAATCAGGGGGGGACTCTCTCTCTGGTTTGCATTCCACAGTTTATTTCTGTGAAGGGGAATCCAAAGGATGAGAGACAAAGGATTTGGGGTTTGGGGGGTCTCTTTTAACAGGGTTTCTCGGAGGGAGGGAACATCAGAGAGAGAACCAATTATTTTTCTCAGTTAGTACATCTTGCAAACTTTCTACAAATCAAGGTTACACACGCCAAGATAAAAAATAACAGACACTAACTTCTTCAAATGCCCACAAAGGTGTGGGAGTATTCTATACAGAGGGGCAGAGGGGAGAGAGGGGGGGCTTGGTTTCCTGGCAACACAGGGGGGAAAGAAAGGGAAGGCAAGGTAAGCATGCCCTCTCAGCTTCCATAGTTTAGAGGCATTCTGGGACAGGAAAAAGTTACAAACTTCCGTGTAGGAAAGAAGAGTTCTCTTCTCCCAACCCCGTGCTTTCCTGGGCTAAAGAAACTTCAAGCAGCTGGAAATGCCAGCGGGGTCCTCTCTTTACTCTATCCGGCCTCTCGCCGTGGGGCTGAGGAGAGAAACTTCAGTAACCATGGTAACTTGACGCCAGGTAAACAGGAGAAAGAGAAGCTGGGGGGGAATCACAACTAAAAGATGGGAAAAGATACATTTCAGGCTATCAACTACAACATCTCCCCCTAATTTTTTCCAAAAGAAGGAAGGGAACTTGGTTTTACTTCTTCAAACCAAGGGGAAGGGGTTTGGGGTGTATTGGGATTTGGGAATTCCACAGCATTTATCTGAGGTGCAGGAGAAATTAACTTGGTGGTGGTGGTAACACACCAACGTTGCAAAACAGAAAACACAATCAAAACAACAACAACAATTGCAAAAAACCCTAAAACAGTACGGAAAACAGAAGACAGCCATCCCGAAAATCCCCATCTTGAGAAAATGTTTACAAAACTGTCATACTGAGGATGGTTTCTTCTTAAAATACAGGTAAACAAGAAACAAAAACTATTAGCTAAATTCATCAATAAACAGATTCAACAGTGGAAAGTCAGGGTAGAATGGAGAATCTGGATTTCCTTCTCCACCCAAATACCTGTTTGTTCTTTGAACTTCTGCTACTGAAATATCGGGGGGTCTTGTGGGATGTTTTTCAATGTACGGTTTTACCCACCTCTGTGGGACCCACCGCAAACCCAGGGGTGTTGATACACAAGCGTATCCTCTTCCCCATGTCACTAATTTGTAAGGACCTTCAATTTTTCCACTTTCAGGGTCTCTCATCAGCACTGGTGGATGTTCCTTGAGCTTGTGTTTGCCATGAGGGGAGAAATGCTTAACCACTGGGGGGTTTTGATCTTCCATAGAACAGTTTAAAAAATTGAGAGTGAACAGGGCTTTGCATAATCTTTCCTGTGGTGTTAACTTTACTTTGTTTTTCCATTGATTTTTCAAAACTCTTTTGAGTGACTGGTGTGCTCTCTCTACTATTGCTTGACCTGTTGGAGAGTGGGGGATTCCTGTCTTGTGTCTCACTCCCCATTCCTGCAAAAATTCCTTAAACACTTTGGAAATATATGCTGGTCCATTATCTGTTTTAATTTCTTTAGGGATTCCTAGTACAGAAAAAGCTTGCAACAGGTGCTTTGTGGCATGCACACCTTTTTCTCCTGCATGGGCTGAGGCAAAAATTGCTCCCGAGAAGGTATCAATGGATACATGTACATATTTTACCTGTCCAAATTCAGGGATGTGTGTTACATCAGTTTGCCATACTTCACAGCTTTTCAGTCCCCTTGGATTGACTCCAGCACCCAGGGATGGCAGAGCTGTGCGCTGACAGTGGGGACATGTGGCCACAATGGCTTTGGCTTGATCTCGTTTCAGATTAAACTGTCGAATCAAACCTGGTACATTCTGATGAAACATTTCATGGCTTAATTTTGCCTGTTGAAACAGGTCAGGGAGTCTGGCCAGTCCAACAGGGGCAGCAGCCAGGGAATCAGCTCTGTCATTCCCTTCTGCTATGAAACCAGGTAATTCCATGTGCGACCGGGTATGCATAACAAAATAGGGATGTTCTCGATGGGAAACTGCATAAATTAATTTTGAGAGCAATTCAAACAAAGTTCTGTTTGAGATCTCCTTGAGGACTGCATTTTCTGCTCTGGAAACTACTCCTGCTACATAAGCTGAATCAGTGACCAAATTGAATGGTTCTGAAAACCTCTCAAATGCTCTAACCACTGCTGCTAACTCAGCAATTTGAGGGGATCCTTCTACATAATCAACATCTGTTTCCCACTGCTGCGTCTGAGGATCCTTCCAGGTCATTACTGACCTTCGGGATGCTCCAGAAGCATCAGTAAAAACAGTCAAAGCTTCAAGGGGCTTCTGACTCCTCTTATCTTTTGGTACCAAATTAAATTTTGAATTAAACAATTTGTGTGCAGGGGCATGAACTGAAATCTGCCCAGTAAAATTCTCCAGAGCAATTTGCAGGGTCTCTTGATTCCTCAAGAGGTGCTCAAACATTTCCCTGGTCATCTTCACTGAGGAGGTTTCTTCCTCAGAGAGGCTTAGGGGCAAATGTATACATGAAAAATCACAGCCAGCAAGTTCTCTCATTCTCAGCCTGGCCTTTCCAACCAGCTGGGCCATCAATTCCTGTGGCCTTGTAATATTTTTGGACCGATGGTGACTGAGAAAGACCCACTCAATGATTATCAAATGGTCTTTCTGGTCCTTGTCCCACTGAAAAATCAACCCCTGAAGGTGTGGCAATTTCCCCATTACAATAAATTTGAAAGGCAGCTCTGGATGGCATCTATGTGCCTGTCTCTTCTCCATCATGCTGCTTACCTTCTCTAAAGCATCCCTGGCTTCTGGAGTCAGAGTCCTTGGAGCACTCAGCTCATCTCCCCCTTTCAATAAATTGAAAAGAGGGGCTAGGTCATCAGTGGCAATGCCTAGCCAAGGCCTAACCCAATTCAGTGTTCCACACAGAGAGTGCAAGTCGGCTAAGGTTTTGGGATTGCTGTTAAAAGCTAATTTTTGAGGAACAATTGTTTTTGCAGTGATTTCCAGACCTAGGTATTTCCAAGGAGGCATCTTTTGTACTTTTTCTTCCTGAAGGGTGAGTCCTGCAGTTGTTAAAACTTCGGTCACCCGGTCCAGTGTGGACTGGAGCAATTTTTCCTGGGGGGCACACACTAGCACATCATCCATATAATGCAGGATAATGGCTTCCCCCACCTCAGCTCGCACAGGGGATAACAAGGCAGCAACATACCATTGGCAAATCACAGGTGAATTTTTCATCCCTTGGGGGAGGGATTTCCAATGAAACCTTCTCATTGGGGCTTCTCTGTTGAGGGAAGGCACAGAAAAAGCAAACCTGGGGGCATCGATAGGGTCTAGAGGAATTTTGAAAAAGCAATCTTTGATGTCAATCACAGCCAATTCCCAATCTTGAGGAAGCATGGCAGGAGACGGCATCCCTGGTTGAAGAGGTCCCATGTCTACAATGACTTTGTTAATTTCTCTCAGATCATGAACTAATCTCCACTTGTCTTTCCCTGGCTTTTTAATGACAAACACAGGGGAGTTCCAAGGGCTAAAAGTAGGTTCAATATTGCCTTGGGCCAATTGCTCATCTACTAACTCGTTTAGCGCCTTTAATTTCTCTTTACTCAGCGGCCACTGGGGTATCCAAATTGGGGAATCTGTGGTCCATTCTAGTTTCTGGGTCTGGCGCTTCTCAGTGGCCGCAATCAAAAATCCCGAGGTGTTTTCGGAATTTCAATGCGGACTCCCCATTGGGACATGACATCTCTTCCCCACAGGGGAACCTGGAAATCAGTGACAATGGGGCGAATAGATGCTATTTGCCCATCAGGTCCTCTAATCTGAATGGGTTCCTTTGATATCTTGGCCAATTGGGCTCCCCCTATACCTTGGATGTGGCTAACCATCGGTTGCAGTTCCCATTGTGGTGGCCATCTCCTTTCAGGGATGACAGTCACATCTGCTCCTGTGTCTATCATGCCTGTCATTCCCATGCCTTCACTACCTTTTTTCAAATGGCATGAGATGATGGGTTTGTTTTCTCCCACTGCTTGAGCCCAGTAGATCTGAGGTGCTACATCATCTACTGGGATCCCTGATGGAATGGGAATAGCTTGAGCAATTACCTGCCCTTGTGCCAGGTAGAATGGTGGGTTGATGCACCGTGCCAAAAGGATGAGTGCATCCAAGTCAGCTGAAAGAGTGACAGGAGAAATTTCAATCTCTGGGGGTGTGTTTTTTGTGTCCCCAATAACAAGAAACTTACAATTCAAGTCGGGGGTCAGTTTTTCCCTCAGCGGGTCAACGGAAACAACCGTCCAGTGGCGAGACCTAAAAAATTGATCTTTCACAGTAAACAATTTGAGAGGTAATTTTGGCTTCCAAACCTCACAACCATTGGTGTTATTTCGGTGGCAGAAGTCAGACCTGTGAGAAACGTCACATTTAAGAGTGTTATCACATTCAATTTTCCCTCCCCCTGCGACTTCTATTCTACTTGTGTCTCTGCGCGGAATAGACTCGCGCTGCGTATCTAGTTTTTTTGGTTCTGAGGACCCCCTCCCTTTTCCAAGTTTCTTTGCCCTTGCTTGTTAGGATATGGCACTTGGCAAAACTTTGCAAAATGTCCTGGCTGTCCACACCGATGACAGGTGAACGCTCCCTTCGGCTTTGCTGGTGATGGCAGAGTAGGTACAGTTGTGGCTGCAATCCTTCCTGGGGTTCTTTGGGAATCCTCAGTCCTTGGCATTGAAGTGCTGATTACATCCGTACACATCTCGATCAAAGTTGTCAAGGTCGGTGGTGGATCTTTCGGCAGCACCCGAATCAGTGCTTTGCAGGCTTCATTCGCATTCACTCGAGCCATTTCCAACAGCAAGTCAGAGTGCAGGGTGGTATTCTGCACTTGTCTTTCAATCTGTACCTTTAATCTATTCACAAAATCTACAAATCTTTCATCAGAACATTGTTTAACTTGAGCATAGGGAACAACAGATTCAGAAAGAGGAATATTGAAAAATGCTTTCTCTGCAGCCTTCTTTATTTTCTCTCTAACTCCTTTTGGCAAATTTTGGGCTTGGTCAATAGGTTCGCTCCAATCACCTTCACCACATAAATGATTCATGGTAATTATTTTACCCGTTTCATCTAAAGCTTCAAAATCACTGCTCAGTAATTCTCCCAAAAGGGTTTTCAACAATCTTTTCCAAGCCCCTTCCCAGAGCAAATATTCTCCTGGGGATAGAAGGCAGGAAAACAAATCCTTCAAATCATGGGGGACCAATTGGTTGGAGGAGAGGGTTGCCTTTAAAAGACTTTTAAAAAATTGGCTTTCCTTTCCAAACTCTTTTGCTGCTTTGCATAATTCCATTTTCAATCGAAATGACATTGCATTCCATTCTGGTAATGTTCCTCCCCTCCCATAAGTTACAGGTGCTGCAAAGAAGGCAGGCCTCTGTTCCTGGTTTGTCCCTTCACTCCCTCCCTTCTCCACACTGTGTGAGCTGGAGGGAGTGACCTGGGAGCCAGCAGCAGAGAGAGGGCAGGCGGGGTTGCAGGGGGGGTAGGAGGGGTCAGGGGCGGGGTGCCTTGGGAGGGAGACACCCCTGAGGGGTGGGGCGGAGGCAGAGGAGGGAGGGTCTGGAGGACCAGGAGGGGGGAGGTCTTGAGGGAGGAAAGGGTTGAGGGGGGGAGGGGCAACAAAGGGATTGTGGGAAGAAGAAGCAACCTGGGGGTTGACCATGTGCTCGCCACCATTTTGAAGTTCCTGGGCCCTTTGTGTAACACTTGGGGGGAGGCTCACCATGTGGTCTCCTCCATTTTGTGTACCCAAAAGACCACCAGGAACAAGAGGAGAGGGATATTGAGGGTAAAGAGGGGTAGGAGAGGGAGCTGGGATGGGTTTTAGGGAAAGGTTTCCAACAGCTTGGCCAGAGCTCCTGGAACAGGGGTGCTGAGAGGACTCCCCCAGCTTAGGGTAACAGGGTTGAGGTAAAGAAACAGGGTTATCAGGGTTAGGATTGGATAACCTTTTTTCTTCTTTTTCAATAAGGGTTAGTCTAATCAAAACAAACAAATGGATTACTTTCTCTGCTGAACTATCTCCAGCATTCACAGATTCAGTCAATTTTGTCCCCACTCTGTTCCAAAAGGAAACAGAAGTTACATCTGCAGGAGACACTTGAGGAAAATTTAAAAAAACCCAATTCACTAATTTTTTCACTTTTTTCTTAGAAAACGGTTTCTCTCCAATTTGCAAAATGCCAATCACTTGATTAAAAATCCCCCTTTGTGCTACAGACAGTCTTGCACCCATCTCTGTGATCTCACCTGTCCGTCGCAGCTATTTCACCAACGGCTCCAAACTGCTCTGCATCCAGAAGTTTCACCTGGGATGGGACTCTTCTCTCACCCACTCCCTCTTCACCACTTCCCCCCTTTGGGGAATTCAGTCTTCTGAATGCTCCTGCCGTTGTCTCGCTCTCAAAAGCAGCCCCTCGGTGCACAGGGGTTCTTGCTTTTCTCCCCAACACGTCTTCCACTTAGAACAGCGAAGAGACGCTTCTGGGGTAGATGTCGTCCCAGCGGTGGTCAGAATCTCACCTTCCGTGGTTCTTCTGTCCCCTTTGTTGAGGGACAGGCCAGCCTCACGTTCTGGGCGTCATCTGACTCGATCTTCTCGAGTGTGGCCCGGCTAGCTCAGTGATGAGGTTTCTCTTCACTCGAGTTTCGAGCCAGCATATGTTTGTGGGGTTCACTGATTTTCTTCAAGAATCCAAGTCTATAGAGCGAGTAAAGAAATCAGGGGGGGACTCTCTCTCTGGTTTGCATTCCACAGTTTATTTCTGTGAAGGGGAATCCAAAGGATGAGAGACAAAGGATTTGGGGTCTGGGGGGTCTCTTTTAACAGGGTTTCTCGGAGGGAGGGAACATCAGAGAGAGAACCAATTATTTTTCTCAGTTAGTACATCTTACAAACTTTCTACAAATCAAGGTTACACACGCCAAGATAAAAAATAACAGACACTAACTTCTTCAAATGCCCACAAAGGTGTGGGAGTATTCTATACAGAGGGGCAGAGGGGAGAGAGGGGGGGCTTGGTTTCCTGGCAACACAGGGGGGAAAGAAAGGGAAGGCAAGGTAAGCATGCCCTCTCAGCTTCCATAGCTCACAGGCATTCTGGGACAGGAAAAAGTTACAAACTTCCGTGTAGGAAAGAAGAGTTCTCTTCTCCCAACCCCGTGCTTTCCTGGGCTAAAGAAACTTCAAGCAGCTGGAAATGCCAGCGGGGTCCTCTCTTTACTCTATCCGGCCTCTCGCCGTGGGGCTGAGGAGAGAAACTTCAGTAACCATGGTAACTTGACGCCAGGTAAACAGGAGAAAGAGAAGCTGGGGGGGAATTACAACTAAAAGATGGGAAAAGATACATTTCAGGCTATCAACTACAACATACTCTGTCTGAGGCTCCCTCTCCACCAGTAGAGATGTGTAGTTGGCAGGCTGTCAAATTTTGAGAGACAAAACAGAATATTTACAGAGGCACAGTATAGTCAACAAAACCAAGGACATGGTAATAGAAAAGGAAAACCACTCTGCCATTTTGGTGAGAGAAGTATGTTACCAAGCAATGAAATAAGACATTTAGTGACCAAAGAGATAATCCAGACCACATCGGTGTCATGCTCTGCATATAAATATGTGGAAGAAGAAGGATAAGGGGGATGTTTGGAGTTAAGGTGTTTGTCTTCCCAAGTCAGCGTTCCACATGTTGGAGCCCTCCTTCCCTGGGGTTGAAAAAACACCCATCTGCCTTGGGAAATGGTGAATTAATTCCTTGGTCTGCTTTTCTTGTGTGCTGTTTTTTTTTTATACCTGTTAAACTGTTTTTATCTCAACTCATGGATTTCCTCATCTTTACTGTTCTGAATTTCTCTCCCGTCCTGCTGGGGCAGTGTGAGTGAGCAGCTCTGTCATGCTCAGTTGCTGGCTGAGGTTAAACCACAACACCTGTCCACTGAGTAATGGCTTCATCCTCCAGGAGTAGCAGAAGGAAAAGGGACTGAAGACTCACCTAGTTCTTAAGGAGAAAAAGGAGAGTGAAGTAGATGAGAGACCAAGGACCTGCAATGGCTTTTATACTGGTCCTGCACTGCCCCAGGCTCAGAGGTTGCCCAAGCAGACTGAGAAATTTCTGACAAGCTCTTCTGAAATGTAAAACATCCCAGATGATACAGGCTGTGTTTCAGGTTCTTGGTGCCTTTCACTTCTTTGTTTACACTATGACATTTCCCTCAAGGATGTTTGTTTTGTGGTTGGAATGAGATTTCCTAAAATTTCTGGGACAGGAGCATGTAATTGTGGGCAGAACACTCACACCAGTTGCTGGAGAAATCTTCTACAGACCAGGACCAGTGGCCTAGGGCAGTCCTGGGATGGTGTTTTCAACCCCACTGACAAGAGGCCAAGTTCCTCTCAGTCCTGCAGTCCTTGTCTGGACACCAAATGGATCCCGCTTGTGAGGACACACCATGTCCTTTTCCCTCTCCCTCCCAGCACCTTCTGATTGCTACTGGTCTTTCTCCTCCAGGCAGCTGAACTGCACTGCTGACCTTCAATATTTCTCGTTTGTTCACCAACCTTGGAAGAGATTTCCCAGGCTGCTTGGCTTCCCCCACTCTTCAGGTCATGACTGGGGATTCTCTTGGGGCCTTGAGGTGCCTTGGCATGCTCC